CGCTCTTCCTCATTCTCATTACGCTATCTCCTAACTCCATCAGGATCCATGCGAGAGTCGCCCCTGCCAGCTCGCATGGCTCTTCGATCGACTGTTTCAGAAGCTTGGACGCCTGCTTCAGATGATTTCGCGTTAGAGGAAAGGCACTTACTTTCTTATGTAAACACGTACGGTTGGGTACCTCTCTAGAGGACTTGAGACATGGTTCAAGCGACAGGATAGTTGCGGCCAGGTCACGTAGAAGTTCGCCCATCTGCAGGTACTTGTCCCACGGGTGAAAAAGCCTGAACCTTCCATGCCGTGGCTCCCATTTAGCGAAATCCACCTACAAGATTCACGAAAAAAACGATAACGTAATTCTGCTATCGGGGTTAATCACCGGATCTAGATTATGAAAACGTACCAGAGTTTCATCCTTTAACTTGGAGTGGAGCACAGATTTGCAACCGCTGAAACTAAAGCTGGGTTTGGTTTCAGGGGAGCTGAAATATTCCTCCAGGCAACCTTCGATCGAGACAGAGAGGTCTCGGAATCTAGAAGCGAGTGAATCGTTAAGTTCGTCGCTTGCCCAGACGGGAAACACGAGCAAACTGATGAAAATGCAGAGGCAGAATCCCATGATGATGGTCAGAAGGCGTTCTTGGACTAACTCCAAGACTTTCTCGGCACGTACACCAGACACGACCACCAGGTTAAACGTGAGAATGAACACCATTACCCCGTGGTCGTATGTCTTCTTGATGCTTGGAACCAATCTCGAATAAGAAGCGCCAGCTCCTGAAACGACGGATGATGATTCCAACAAAGTCAGTTCCCGGTCTTAGGTTGTATATATAGGGTCTGTTGGAAGAAGAGGAGAGGATCGTTCGTTTTATTTCGTTCTTACCAAATATGAAGACAGAGGTGAGACTCACGAGAACATTTCCGAGTCCACCCACTTCTTGAGCCAAGGCTGCAGCCAAACACCCTAACCCACCTCCCAGTATTGTCCCAATCCCCCGATTCAAGCCCTTGCTCAACGTTGCACCTGTCATAATCAGTGTTTCAGAATGCAAAAAAAAAAAGACAAGTTCTAACGCATGATTCTTGATTTTACTTAAAAGGAGGAGGCTTTAGGTGTGTGTATATACCGGCGAAGAACTCGAAGGTGATGATGACGGTCATGATGGCGCACATGGCGTTATCCCCGAATTCCTTGTAGAGAGGATCGAGGAGATAGAGGAGGAAGGCCAACACTAAAGCAAACCCGACCTTGACGCTATGCACAACTCTTCTGACGTCACCCTTGCTTCTCTTCCTCTTCGCAAAGGATACCACGCATCTCACGAACCCGACACAGCCTTCTCTCCTCGCCTTCCTCCGCGTGCTTCCTCTCCCTCCATCAGCTGCAGCAGCAGCAATGTCGATCACCGTTGACGTCATCTTTGCAATTCGGAAGCCTTGTCCTTGAATCGATCTCAAGAAATTGTTCTGAGTTGTGATTGTGTGTTTATATATCTACGTACGTATATATATATATATACACCTTTGTCGCGTATTCAAATCTTTTCACGGAAAGAGACTTGAATCGGAATGAACAAGAGGTGATATACATATGTGTGGTAGAAGTGTGTTGCATGCGCATGGCTCTAGGGTTACCAGCGTCAGTGGATATTTGGTGGAATATTAAGCACTATGGTTTTGCAACGTGTAATGTGTACATTGCAATTTATTGAACAAATAGACTGTTGGAATTCCGTACATGGACACAACTTGTATGGTGTGATGTCATTGATAACTTGCGTTTTTAGTACAAAGTATAAAATATGAAGTCATAAAACGCCTTAGGCACGGATTTGCGGTATGTAAATTATTTTAGGTTTACTTAACTAACTCCCCCCAAAAAAATTTGGGAAATTAGGTATAACAATATGTATGCATATAATTTTGAGATGAATTAGACGGAAAAACCGATGCGTATGTTATGAAATGGATTGGGGATTCAATATAGAACAAGAGAACGAGGGCAGCTAAGATGCCTGGTGGACATTCAGCGTTTTGGCCACTTCTTGGCGTACCTTTCCGACATATCTAATTCTGCGTTCGTACACGAAAACCTGTCTTTTAGGGTACATACGAGATTTATAATTGAACGCAATATCAAATCTCTATCATATGAAATCTTAGATGGATCTTGGATAACTAGAGAGAGACAGAGATGCACAATTTGAGTCAATAGGATAGGTCAAATAGAGGTTCTCAATATATCCCAAAACTAGAACCGATTACATCTATATGGACCAGATTATAAAAAGACCAACCCAATTCGTATCCTCAGCTAGTGGGGGTGCTGGGAAGGGAATATACTAGGCCACCTTACCTCTACATTTTCATGTAGAGAGGTGGATTCGAACCCGCGACCTCAGACTCTGCGGTAAATGGTTTTACCACTGAACCAGATTATTTGTAAAATCTGACCTGTGCTTGCAGAATGCGGCGTGTAAGTCAGCCCAGAAATCTCGATCCCGGGGAGGAAGACGTACGGACCGTCTCCGAAGAAGACGACGCCTCTCCCCGACGACAGGCACACGGCGAACTTCCGCCGGAAACTGAAGGCGGCGGCGACCTGAGACGGGAGAGCGATCTTCGTACGGCCCAAACCGGCCATACCCACCGCTAACATTGATATAAATTTAAACTATAATCTTCAAACAAGATACAATTAAACAAAAGCATATGTCGAAGCGTATCCCGGCATG